AAGGGGACGCATTTTTCTTCACTAATGTTTCCCGAATGCACAAACCATTGACATAACACAGACTGTTTAATCAAAGGAAATAGGTCGTCTATTTAGTTACAGAGTGTTCACTATAACATTTGAATTAATAGAAATATCAGATTAAGATCGACACTTTAGAAAAAGAAAAAGAAATATCTTTCAATTTTTATAGCCTTGTTTATAATCTCGGTAAGGTAGGAAACAATACGTAAACAGACGTAAAGCCGGTATTGTAATCAGCAGTATCAAGGCCCATAACTCTTTATGTCAATAGCCGCTTTCTCAGTTCCAACGGACATAGGCTTAAATATAAATAACAGCGTATAATTCCGGTTAGATGCAAAACAATGTGTAATCATATGTTTTTTTTTTAATATTACTGGTAACAAGTATTTACATTAGTCGGACTATTGTCCTCATCTTTGTCGCCATATTTGTCACAACGTTTCGGCCGTTGTACGCTCCGGCCTTCTTCAGGTGGTTGGAATTTCGAACTGAACCCTTTCGAACTGAACCCTTTATCCACTGTGCCATGTGTCCTCAAAGACACATGGCATAGTGGATAAAGGCGTTGGTTAGATCCAGTGACAGACCCAAAGAAGGTGAGTTCAATACCTGGTTAAGGCAGTGGAGAACTTTCAGAGGGAAAATTAGCAGGAGATAACTGATAACGGACATCCATCAAACATGGCACGTGGAACTAGAACAGTCTACCCCAGTGATCGAAGTAAAGGGTTCAGTTCGAAATTCCAACCACCTGAAGAAGGCCGGAGCGTACAACGGCCGAAACGTTGTGACAAATATGGCGACAAAGATGATGACAATAGTCCGACTAATGTAAATACTGTACATAATACCTCATCTCAGAAATATAGACAGATACGGGTAACAAGGGGGATAACTCTGCATATGTGTAGCAGATATTGAAAACTCAAAGGTTTCAGCAGTCGTAACAACAAAGAAAATAGTACCACTTGAGAATAGTAAAAAGAACAATCATAATGTTAAATAATACTTTAGCAGATTATCATTTTTTAGAGAAGTTTATTTCTGCGTTGACTTCCTCAGTTTGACCTTGAGGGTCACATACAAGACAAAATAAAGGAAGTCGATTTTTAATGGTTGAACGAGCGTAGGAATGATAAATTAAGAAAAGGTTTATTGGGGAGTTGGCTCTTACACGTCGAACAATGTAGACGTGTTACTTTCGTCTCTGGGTCTGCTCTCCAGTGGGATGAGAGAGCGAGCCCACTGGATAGTTAAAAATATACACATCGACGTGTTTAAGAAAATAGATAAGTTTAAAATTCTTTTGTTGATGTCTTTTAATCTCTGAAGCCAAACATCTAGCAATCACCGGCCGAGAGAAGACGCGAGGGAGAAGATACAACATATGAGTGAATCGACGCCGTCGCCTAATACCACACCCATGAGGGGTGATGTGCGACAGTAATCGCGTCGGAGATACAATTTCACGTCCATCATTATACGGAAACATAGTTTTATATTATGTTTTATACTATATACTGATACCTCGTTTTAAAGGATACAAAAAGGGTAACATCGGTCCAATAATGCAGATTGCCCGTAGTTACCGAGACTAAGTGTGCAGTGACTAATCTCAACAATTACTTTACGAAAGAAATAGGAATGATATAGTCCTGTGTATTTAATCAAGCGCAACTGGATACTGTAAATAAAGACTAATTTGTGCTACTGTAAAATTCAACATTTCCCGCTTTTCTGCTCTTGTTCCAGACGACATTTTTATAGAAAACGATGAATATAAAACCGCTTAAACAAACCGGCATATCAAAAAGGGAAATCCCAGGAGCAATAAGCAACACGTATGGCTATACTAATCTGAACAAAGTGACGGCTCGCCAACTACCAGCCAGCTATCGAAGCAGCGGCTTGTATCCAGACAAAATTTCGTCCGTAGAGGGCGGGACTTACAAACCGATTCAGCTGCTCCGAATTTTGTCCGTTACCAAGGCACATACATATATATATATATATATATATATATATATATATATATATATATATATATATAGTGAGCATTGAAGTCAACACTTAGAGGAGACAGGCTGTTTCATGCTAGACGCAATCGTCAGACCATTGAGTCTAACATGAAACAACCTGTCGCCTCTAAGTGTTGACTTCAATGCTCACTTTATATATATATATATATATATATATATATATATATATATATATATATATATATATTGAGGAATCGAGGAGACAAGATCGAATTCGAATCCATTACATTCACTTACGAGCTAATAACCTTTTTTCTCTCTAAATATCATGACAGAGTTCCATAGCCCTAGATCTGGCAACTGGTCTAGGAGAAGAGACAACTCTAATTTCAAAACCTGCAGAGGGTAGTTTGGGGACCTTATATGGCCCGTAGTGCACCAGGTCTCTGTATTTGGCCCTTCGAAAAGTGTTGTTAATTCTGCACAAATCCTTT